TTCTGACTGTAGAATGACCATTAATAAATGTACTAAGACAATTATGAAAAAGATCCGATTTCATGCTAGCAGACATAAAACTTATTACTTCTGCAGCATCAGGAACTGCACAACTGCCTAGGGCTTAGTGGTCCCAAGTCAGATTACCTGAAATTAAACATTTATTCCATTTTGGGACACCTGAACATTGCTCTTATTTTTCCAAGCTTCTCAACATCTTCAGGTTCCAGTCCTCAGAATCTGCTTTTCCAGAGCAGCATGCTAAGCTGTTTTGTGCTATCATCCAGTTTTTGAAGTACCTAACATATTTGGTAATGTGGCTTAATTATTGACTGAAGAATGCAAGAGCTCATTCAAGACTACAGCTGGAATCAGTATATCTTATATCCATATCTCTTCCTACTTTTTTAATGGGCAACACTAATGTGCCTCTCATTTTTCTGAAGGTTTCCTTATAACATCTGTAATGCTTCCTGTGCTTCTTACCATATCCCTAGCTGTTTACTTCAAAAAAAAAAAAAAACCCTGTAAAAGCCCTGTTCTCTTGCTGTTCAAGAAGCTACCCTTTAGCAATCCACATTTCACTGTTTCACATTGCAGAGGCTTCTGAAAAGAATGCTGACGCTTCCATTAATAGCATTAGCAATGTTCAAAAGGTCCAAGGTAATTTCAACCTCAAAATCTTTACTATTGTTATCATTTAACCCCACAGTTACTACATAAATGTGTAAAGTAAATGCGGGGGACAACTCATAGGAAGAGTCATAACATTTGCACTAGCAATTATGCCCTTTCATGATCTGAATCAGTTTTTAATGAGCCATGAGCAATGAAGCACTTCGAACAGCAGTTTTTACACCTTCAGAGACTGTGGTCCCAGATCTCAGTGGTCTAACATAAAAAGTAACTTCATAAATTCTTTCAAACTGCTACATCAATGCAGACCTCATTACATACTGCTTATTTGCGTGCATTACAATAATGGTACTGCACAGCCTAACAAGCTTATAAAGATAATTTTTTTCCAGATATAAAGCTCTTCTAAATCCTAAGTAACTTTGTAACTATGTTTAGAAATAAACTAATTCATATTTACCAACCTCCATTAAATCTTAATAAAACTAAAACCTTGAAATAACTCATACCTCACAGCAATGAATGAGAAACATTTGATTTCTGAATAAGCAAAACTCAGTTTCACAGCTAGACCGGGAGAGATGAGAAACATGCTAACTGAAGAGCCTTCTCATCCTCTAATCGAAAGAATCAAAACCTCCTTAAAACAAAACAAAGCAATACAAGTAAAGGTGGCAGAAGCACCATTTTTAGATTTAAATGCTGTTCCCCGCCATAAAATGCACCCTTCAGCTCACCAGTAGGATTCTCCACTCCCTGCTAACCAGCATCAGCAGTCAATCTAAACCCATCAGCCAAACCGTATTACAGGATGGCAAATAAAAGTTACTTTCTCCAGAAACCAAACAGCTCTCACTACTTCATTATTTCCTCACACACTCCCTTTTAAGGAGAGCATGACTGAAGCTGCTAGGGCTGTTAAGGCTATTCTTACATACTAAAATTGTGAGCATAACAACATAAAAATTCTCTCATGAAACCTTATTTGAATCACTCATTCAAAAGAGGAAAAATCCACTCTTTCAAAATTATACACTGTCTTTGGCAAGGAGAAAAACAGCTAAAGGGAACAATAAAACACTTTTATGACAGTATTTTTTGTATTAGATTTGTCCCTGGGCTATAAAAAATGTAGCAGGCACACTGTAAGAAAAATGACTGATTCTCAAAAAAGTAGTGAAAAAATGTATTTTATTACACAATGATTCTTTGTAAAATTTTAAAATTAACTAAAATTTCTGTAAGCCTAAAAAGAGAGCTTAATAATACCACATTGTCCTGCTGAAAAGTATAAAGTAGCCACATAGTTTAAGCAGACGTTTATATTAAAGCACAAAGATGAAGGGCAAATCTAGGTATACTCTACGTAACATTCACGGATAGATCTTATATACGATCTGATGAGGCCCATTTTTGCGTTCAGGTACATCAAATCACAAAAATAAGCTGTCATTGTACGGCAGAGTTCTTCCGTACTACGCCTGCCTTGCTGTATACCTTATACAATCATTTTACTGAAATCTAGAAATTGGCTTTTAGCAATATATTAGCTTTTGCTATACTATAAACTCATGTAGCAAACCTGAGGAAGGAAAGGTATTATTTGCTGTCTTCACTTTTCTAACCATTTACAAACAATAATGACTATCTAGGAAGCCCACCAGCTGTGTACATTACAGTATTCAACTCTGTCCTTTGCTGACTCACAATTTCCATCACAATAAACACCACAGATTTATTTTTTTTCCTTGCATACCCATTTTATTTTAAGCACTTATCTATTATTGTAGCAGATATTACAGAGATCTCTGAAGAGGGTACAGTCTCATACCACAGCATCATGAAGTTTCCGTATTTCTCTGTGGTTTTTTTTCCTTCTGTTGATCTCCCACATTTATCCTTTCATTAAATGGAAATTCTTTTGCTGCAACCAGAAATGCACAAGCTCCAAACCCCTACCCTTGCCCAATTCAGCAAAGGTATTCTATAATTCTACAGAACGTGAAATTCAGTACAAGTTTTCTGTTTCCACAACTAGATACTGAAGAAAGCACAAACAGAACCTACCAGTCACTAGTATGCACTGATAAACTTTACATAGAATGATTGTTCTCATTTAACATTACTAGTAAATGCTTACTAATCATCGGTTGACTAACTAAAGGCCTAGCTAAGGGCTAATGCAAAGAATTATCTGTATCATCATACATATAAAGTGAAATTTGCACATGACGTGCAAATGATCCATGTGGGCTTCCAATATACGCTCCGATTACTCAGGACTATATTATAAATATACGCTACAGTATTTCTTCTTCACTTCTTTTGCTTGGACAATAAAAGCTGAATATAGTCTCTGAAAGAGGTCGTTATTGCAGAACAGAGACGCGCTCTATCCCTTCCCAGTAAAGGACATGTTGGCACAGGACAGGACCAGAAACTGTGGCCTGCTTGCCATATCAGAGGGCACCTGTTTGCATGATAAAACCCATACCAAATATGGTATTCTTAATAAATATCCATTTTTAATACCAGCACTCTACATATGATAAAATTATATACTACCACTTTGGGTTGCGTGCAACTGAAGCAAAAGTGTCAAGCAGCATATATTCTACTTCAAGATATAAAAAGCAACTTAGGAGTGCTAACTTCAACTTATGCCTTTGTAAAGGTGACAAAATTAATCATATCTTTAAGCATAATTTTCAAAAGAATTTTAAAAAGCAAAGATAGAATACAAAAGGAGGTGGTACTGTTTAGCAGTCAGCTAAAGCTGAACTGAAGTGGAAGTTTAACGTATCAATTTGAAAGCACCATGTATCAGAACTCATAGGAAGTGGAAGTACAATTCCTTCCTTTGCTTCTAGAGACCATCACATAAGTACACATACTCATGCTATTTTAGAAGTAATAAAACCAGTCTTGGGATGAATATCTAAAAAGAGTACTTATCACTAACAATAATATAGAACTGAATAATTACAGAACTTATCTTTCATCAACTTTGAAGCTTTCAGATTCCTAATGCTTTTGAGTAATGAAGATAATTTTTTCAGTACTGCACTACATCAAACTGGGCCATCTGTTAAGAACTATCATTAAGACATTGAGCCCTCTGAGGGACAAAGAAGCAACATTTACCGCTTGCTTAAATAGTTACAGATGTTTCTAGAAACTGTTTAAAAAAATTAACATGTATATTCTTAGACCGTGATCCAGCAAACGGTCTCAAACGTGCTGGCCCCTGCAACCACGTGCATATGCTTGCAAGTTCAAGGCCTTAGTAAATATTTAACTATGCATATTTATTAATTAATATTTACTGGCTAAGGGAGAGACTCAGAGCCCCTTCATTGGCATCTACAATGACGCTGGAGGAATTTACATACAGGCAAGACAAGTAGTCCAGCAGGCCCCAATAACCATTTAAGCCTGGAAATGTCTAATGCTCATTTGGCACACCTCTTGCTTGAACTTTCGGAGGTGCATCACTAAAGGCTAACACACAAGCGCTGCTCTGAGAGACCAGGCACCCCTTAAGCTCAGCTGAGACTCAGCACCAACGGAGAGGTGTGGAACAGAGGTACAATACAGACATACGCAGGGAATGACTATTCTAACACCTTTCACCCAACAGCTCACTGATTACAACACACTTGAAGAAGAAAGCTTGCTCGAGTTCTCTAGCCTTGCGATACCTGCTTTTTCCTCATTTAAGGGGATTTCCTCAACTAACACTTCAGCTATGGCTTGTTCAGTCTGGTCCAGCACGCAACCAGGATTCACCAGGGCTGAAAGGGAACAAGCAAGAGGAACCTGCATCTCAACACCCCACTGCAAGGAGGAAAAACGGGGTTCTGGGCTCTAGGGTTATTTTTTCATTTTTATTCTGTAATTGTCCAGCTTAATTCATAAATGGGTCCTGAGAGAGTTCCGATCCAAATCAACCTCCAAGTACTGGAATCTTAACATTATTATTGTGATTTTAAAATAGAGAGCTTAAAAATCCATTTCCAAAACCCTATACGTTCAGTGCAGTTGCAAGTTTAAGCAACATAAAATATCTCTTTTTCAAACTTAACTTCTTCCTAATGGGAGTTCTTAAGAGATACTGGGCCCTTTCTCCCCCAACTCTTCCTTTTCTCCCTCCCCCTCTCTAATTCAGAGCAATTACAGCTTTGTATCTGTAAGTCTTCTGCCCAAAGGAATATCACAGACTGGTTTTACGTGAAGGCTAATTATAGACTCAGGTTTATAGAGGTATCTAATATCTCATTAAAAAGGAATTGCTCCTTCCAGTGTATCCCCCTGTTGAATCAGCGACTAATATTCCTTCCAAGCATGCATAGTCTCTGGCTTACCTCTACAAACACTGCAACATTGGTTCTCTGGAAGAACGTGATCTTTTTCTGAGCAGTTCAATGGCGGACAAGTCTCTGTTACTTTTACTAAAACTCCATTCTGAAAATAAACAACATTTTAAAAAATGACATTGATGAAAACGTGCAATGGCAAGGATCACATAATTTTCAATCTATAACTGGTAATCTCTAGTAACAACACTGGTAAACTAGCAGGCAGCAAGTTAAATTCATTCTTTACACCATAACATCAAAACTGAAGTAATCTACTCGGACATTGCTATGCGAGGAGAGGAGGGAAGAGGGAAGAGGGAAGAGGGAAGAGGGAAGAGGGAAGAGGGAAGAGGGAAGAGGGAAGAGGGAAGAGGGACGAGGGAAGAGGGAAGAGGGAAGAGGGAAGAGGGAAGAGGGAAGAGGGAAGAGGGAAGAGGGAAGAGGGAAGAGGGAAGAGGGAAGAGGGAAGAGGGAAGAGGGAAGAGGGAAGAGGGAAGAGGGAAGAGGGAAGAGGGAAGAGGGAAGAGGGAAGAGGGAAGAGGGAAGAGGGAAGAGGGAAGAGGGAATTAAGCTCAAAATTCTATAGTACTTTTTCCAAATACATTGCCTCCAAGTATAGTTGTTTTCCTTCCAAGTATTCGAAGGAATTAAAGAATTTCACTCCAGGTTTTTGTTAAAAACAGTCTTCCTGCTTTATGCGAGCCCAACTTTTACTCCTCTTATTTTATATTCTGCATAACTCTCTGGTAACTTATTCAACTCCAACACACACAGCAGATAGAAGACCAACGTTTTCAAGTGTCATGCGTTGTTCTGCTGTGTCCAATTAAAAGTGTCTGTTCTTTAGAATTACCAATCACCTAATTTCCAAAAATTAGGTCCTTCAAAGGTATGCCAAAGCAGAAATCCCATCCTGAGGTATCCATATAGAAATTGCTGTATAAAATGTTAATCTAGGTCAAGATATTTCTCTGATTTTGATTTCTGCTAGATTTAGAGTAAGACTGTATATAGGAAGTCTAGTTGCTGGTAGAAATTTTCTAAAATAATAGAGACAGAACCTTTCTGGGGAGATTTTACACCACATTTTACTCCATCTTCTTCCCATCCAGGAAATCAGCTTCACCATATCTCCAGACCAAACAGCTGTCCTCCTCTTTAGTTAGTCGTTTCGTAACATCTTGTCCCAAAATAGCTTCCTCTTTTCCCTTATCCCCCTCCAGCCTTCCCCATACCATAACTTCAGCGTCCCTTCTGCAGCTATGCCATCACTGCAAACTGGCAAGCGGAGCAGAGATTAACCACCAGGATTTTTGCTCAGTAGGAACTACAATAACTATCCCACAGGACCGTCCACACCTGAGTAATCCCATTTTCCAAGGGACTGTGAAACTCCGCTAAGAAAGCGGGCAGCCCGCTATATTGCCAATACACCTTTTTAATATGAATCTAGTCCCCACTCCTCCCAAAATATTTTTCATGATGCCTCAGACGGTGGAACGAGAAGATGGAACAAGAATTTCTGCTTTCTTCAAAGAAATAAATTACATTTTCTAGCTATTGTGACTGCAGAGAGCAGTTTAAAAATATGATTCAAACACATCTAGGACTAAGAAAGCAGAGGAAAACTAATACCAAAAAAAGACAAAATATGTTATTAAAGCCACCATTCTCAAAATCTGAGGGATCAGATACATGACTTTGAACAGAAGATATTGACAATACCCATGTGTCTACCCTGTATGAAGAAACATCCCTATATAGAGACACCCTCGCTAGCCAGAAGCTCGCTTTCATATCTACAAGACACTGTGCCACACTGTGCCAAAAAACTAGCTCAGGTGCCAGAACCAGTACAGGTAAAACTCTTTGCTGGTAATTAGCCTCACCAGCCGTGCCACACTGATTCAGCTATGTCGCTTCAGGCTCCGGAATTAGTTCTCACAGCATCAAGCTGCCCTACACAGTTATGGGCACAGAAACGCCTGCTGAGTCTACAAGGTGCAAATGATGCACAAGGTGCCCGGCAGCTAGCAGGACTTACAATCGAGAAGTGCAGCAGACCTAGGGAACGCAAACCTGACCGTTCTATAATCACTGCTAGTCACTGCCCTTGAGACTGCAATCTTAAGGCTAAGCAGGGCCAAGTCATTTTTCTCACTTCCCCATTGTCTTTACTGGCAAGCTGCATCAGTTGCTGTCACGAAAAATAAAATTAAAAAAAAAAGCCGTAGGCATCAGTTTTTTCTTCCCTTTTTTTTCTTCTCTAAAAAGCAGCTCCCTACAGCATCACATACGGCATGCATCATTGAAGCAAGTACCCACACAAGAACAGTGAAATTAACGGAGGTATTAGGGCTCCTTCTGATCTCCCTTACATAAACGAAAAGGAGGAATCCCCCACGGTTGCCTGTGCAACTGCAGCAGCAAAGGTGATAAAAGAACCAGACATACTGAGCCGTCATTTACTGTCGCGTTATCAAACTACCAGCTGGAAAAGCTCTGGCTGTAACTCATTGCCTATTCAAGCTCAGACAAGACAACTGCAGCAGAAAGGCTACAGTATGTCAACATATGGACAAAAAGCGTTGACTGACAATAGATCTGGTCAAAAAGATGGCAAGATATCAAGAAATCGTACAAAAGTCAAATCAGTGATCAGGATGAGTCAAAACGCTAAAGGCAAATTCAATCCAAGCTTACACCTTCTTTAGTGAATCATAAGGAGGTAAAAAACCCACAACTTGAGAATTCCATTAATTTAATGACAGTAAGATTTTATTTCCCCAAGTTGCCCATTTTTTGCAGAATTTGCATCTTGGGAAAACAAATCGAACATATTTGTAATTAAGTTTTAAAACAACTAAAGTATTTCCATGTTGAGTATTCTTTGGATTAAAATCAATTTGTTATAAACTAGAACAGATCCAATTATAAGAATTATCATCATTAGATTTCAGATTTTATCCACTAAGTAAGAACAGTTCACAATTCAGAATTATTGCTTCAGACAGCCTTATAAAAAATTGCTAACTTTTTATACTCAATTCACATATGTAGTCATAGAATCTGGACAGAAATAGATGTCAAAAAGACATTCTTCTGGAATAAGTAGGTCAAGCTCCAACTGTGACATACAATCCACAAAGAATGAGATCTGGAGTCAAATATTTACAAGATGATGATGATGAAATTTCTTGTAATTACAAAGGTAAGTACATAAAAAAGAATTTGCTATAAGCCTAATCAGTGACATGCAGTGAAAATCTGAACCACAAACAGCTCATCTCAGATGATCAGCTTTGGAAAATAACAAGATTTCAGATAAGGTTACTTTGGGTTTTTGTTGTTGTTTGGGGGGGGGGGTTTCCCCTCTTGTTTTAGCTGTTATTGATCAGCCTTTCAGGAGAAAGTGCTAAATAGCATCCTTAGCTGTCACTCTAGGAATGACAATATTCTTTATCTTTACAAAAAACTTTTTAGTCAAGCTTCCTGAAAGTCAGTGGGGCCCTGTCCATCTTTCTAGTATTTGTATGGCGCACTCTGACTGCCCGCTCCCAGCATTAATGAAGAGGAATTTATTCTTGTACCCTTTGCTGTCAAACACATCTTCAAGTTATGAATAGGCATCATGTCATTCACAGGCATTAACCCAGAAATTAGCTGATCAGCAGTAAACTCCCGGTCCAACAAAAGGTATAGAATTCTTTCCATTGACTTGTAATGAGCCATGTCACCATATCGGTGAAATCCACAAACCAAAATAACCATTTATTGAATGCAGAAAGGTGCAGTTTTCTAAAGCACTATCACACTTGCATTTTTTAGAGGGACCTCAACAGGCTGGAGAAATAGGCCGACAGGAACCTCGAGGAGTTTAACAAGGAGCAGTGCAAAGTCCAGCACCTGGGGAGGAACAACCCCATGTGCCAGTGCATGCTGGGGTCACCCTGCTAGAAAGCAGCTTTGCAGAAAAGGACCTAGGGGTCCTGGCGGACACCAAGTTGAACAGGAGCCAGCCATGTACCCTTGCGGCAAAAAAGGCTAACGGTAACTTGGGCTGCATTAGGCAAAGTATTGCCAGCAGGTCAAGGGAGGTGACCCTTTCCCTCTGCGCGGCGCTGGTGAGGCCACACCTGGAGTGCTGGGTCCAGTCCTGGCCTGCCCGGTACAAGAGAGACATGGAACAACTGGAGAGACACCAGCCATGGGCCACAAGGATAAGTAAGGACTGGAGCATCTATCACAGGAGGAAAGGCTGAGAGAGCCGAGACTGTTTAGCCTAGACAAGAGAAGGCTCAGGGGGGATCGTACCAATGCATATAACCGCCCAAAGGGAGGGTGCAAAGAGGACAGAGCCAGGCTCTTTCCAGTGGTGCCCAGTGACAGGACCAGAGGCAATGGGCACAAACTGAAACACAGGAGGTTCCCTCTGAACATCAGGAAACACTTTCACTGCGAGGGTGACCGAGCACTGGCACAGGTTGCCCAAGGAGGCTGTGGAGTCTCCATCCTTGGAGATACTGAAAAGCCGTCTGGACACGGTCCTGCGCAACTGGCTTTAGGTGGCCCTGCTCAAGCAGGGGAGTTGGACAAGATGACCTGCAGAGGTCCCTTCCAACCTCAACCATTCTGTGATTCTTAGAAACACATGTGCACTAATTTTGTCATTGTAGATTAATCTAGAGAGTGTTAAGAAGATTTGCATCATAAATACATTTTTAGTCTGGATTAGTTTTCAGAAATAAAAAAAAAACCTGCTCACAGCCTGATAAAGAAAATCTTTGATCTATCTGGAACCATCAGTATTATTATTATTTTTGTGAGATGGAAAAAATATAAAAGTTAAAAGCCTCTTATGTTTGGATCAGTACCTACGCAAAGAATAAAATGACTGTCTTCAAATAAAAATTGAAATGTGAAATTTTAACTTCATCTTTTTGACATTACCCCATCTACAACTACGTCCTCCTTTACAGACACAAGAGCTACTCCCCAAGATTTTTAAGCCGTCTTTACCAACACTAATAAATTGACAGTTGATGTGTACCCCCTACTGTATTCCTTCATGGATCAACAGCTTTTCAAACTCGATGTCTGTTTTTCAAGTCTGGAAAATGAAACCGTATTAAATTTTTTATAGTCCTTCCCCTAGCACAAAGCCCCTCCTTTATTCATACAACACCTTGTCTACCAGTAGGCCCGCACAGGACAGAAAACGATTGAGTACAGCCACAGTTTGACTCATCGCCATTCATCCTTCATCTAGTAAGCATTCCTAATTAAGGTAGTAAATAAGTGGGTGTTTTGCTTACAGCTTTTAAGAGGTCATGCTGAAGACACATGGAATGAACTTCCTTGTCTGGAGACACATCATCTCATAGAAGCAGAGGTAAGCACCCACTCAGAAACTCTCCCGATTACGAATGACAAGCTTTGCCAGTGAGGTTTAATGTCTTCTTGAAACACAGCTATGGAAATAACCTTTTTATTCCCCAACATAGACTCATTTTTTTTCATGGTACTGCAGTCACATATGCCGTTTCAAATACTTACCAATACTCTCCATTAAGATGTAAATAATACAAACTGCAACTTTACTGCAATGAGCATTGCCATATCAATTTCCTTTAACAATAAGTAAAATGCAAAAGCCCTTTTCATCATTATTTTAATCATTTCTAATCTGACAGATATTTGATGGTCAGTATTTGCTTTTAATCTTCATGAATGTATTATCATACTCATAACAATGAATATAATGCTCTTATTTATATCACAGAGAAGTTCCACTGATAATTCAGATCACTCTCTCTGCTTTCACTCTAGTGTGAAAATCCTCCTGTTCTCATCTTATTTCATATAGGCACTTTCCCTCCCAAATAAACATTCTATGTCATATTGTAAGTAACAGGCACCTTAGTCTGTCTTCAAGGCAACGACCTTGCCCACTTATTTGTATATACTATGTTGAGCACCCCTATACAGCTAAACACTAATAGCAGCAAAATAATTCTGCATAACAAGCTACTTTCACAACATCTGCAACCAGTTATTGTCCATTTTCATTAGTGAACATAAAATTGCTACTCCGTACGCTCAGCTACAAGCACAACAATAACCAGATCATTGTCACTTTTTCCAAATGTTTTTCATAATTGTTCTAGCATACTGATCTGTCAACAACATTTGTAAGCCTCCCCTTTATCACCCTTCCCCCTCTACAAACTCAACAAGATGTTAAAACAAAAATACTTGAGAATTACATGTGAGAGCGAATGTGTTTAAAATAGCTGTGCCTTTCTGAAGTGATAAATCATATTTAAAACGCATGCATACTCACAACAAATACATGTCTCAGCAGAGCAACGGCCCTTTTCTAATCATCTACTACTACTCTCTTCTTCCAAGGCTGATCTTGACAACAGCTGGTTTCTGCCACACTTACACACCATGTAGCACTCTTACTTCACTAACACTCCCTGAATGTTCCTATCTAACACAGCCTCCATTTACCTGTGTTCTTAAATACTGACTGTAGTTGACTAAGTGTTACGAACTTGCCAAGACCCCAATCCAGCCCAGTACTTAGTAATTTACCTCAATTATTAGCAGGGCTACCTATAGTTTAAATAATACTAGGGCAAATCTAGAGTAACTCAAACAATATAAACCAGGTTGCTTCATATTTTAGCAATTTGGCTGGAATTAGTAACTGGCTCAAGATGCTGCTGCCTTTTTCTAGAGCTCATGAAAGCAGGAGATAAAAGAGGAAACATCCCTCAAAGTCATTTTGCCCATGTTTTTATTACCTTGCAAGGGTCATTTTCCTGCCTTGTTTTCGTATTTGTGGCTTTCACTGACTTCAAGGTCACCTTTTCAAGACAACAGATGTCACATTTGCATGAAGGAAGCCTAAAGAAATGCACTAACTTATCACTGTCACTTTTGAACACCGCACATACATTTAAAATCAGGAAAAGTTTATACAACTGAAACTTACTCGACATTCCCTGCAGCTCTTGGTTAATACTCGTTGACCTTCTGCTAGCACTTTGCCCCCATAGATACACTTTGCTGTAATTTGAGAGGAGAAGGAGGGAGATTAAAAATAAATAAATTAAATCAGTATTTAAATAGTAAACAAATGCAAAGTAAAGTAAAACCAGTATTCACATACACTGAAAAAATATGGATACGTTAAGTATATCATGCATTTTACTTTCATCAGAAGTCAGTATTATACGTAACTACAATAATGTAGCTAACAATAAATTCATTTTAAGAGCAAGTAGCACCTTTACCCAAACTAAAGAGGAAGAATAAGAGCATAAGACAATATGTACTGGACCAAATTAATCAGTATTCGACAGAAAACATTTTCATTACTGACATTCTGGAGATTAGTTACAGTATTTGTGTTACTAGAGGTCTTCATGACTCGCTTCAAGAACTGGAGACATTTATTATCGTACTGTTCATCAAGAGAATAATATAGTCACAGATTTCAATTAAACTTTCAGATTTTTTGTGGGCACAAAGGTGAACTCTTCAACTTGCTGGAGCACTGCGAAAATGGATTAGATGCAGCGAATGACGCTACTGAATCAACAAACTGTAAAAATCTATTTCAGAAAAATATTCTTAACACACACATGAAATAAGCAGATTTCCCAGAAAAGTGAAAGCACCTACTAAAGAATTCCTGTCTCAAGTTTTGACCCTTCTGCTAAAGATAACCAGCTCTGCAGCCGAGCCAACAGACTAGAACACATGAGGACTCCTCATCCATTTCAAGGCAGAGACAACCAGCTTAGGACTACTGCCACCATGAAGAAGGTAACCTCCAGCACGGCCACAGTAGCATACAGCTCGGTCACGTATTACCGTAACTATCACAGTCCTCTTGGAACTAGCTGTCTAAATTTCAATTCCAGAGGAGAAGAGTAAATCCATTAATTAAAGAGAACAGTTGGACTATTATGATCTTACACAAATCAAGTATCCATCATAAAGGCACTCTACATTACTAATAAGATCAATTATAAACACTGATAAAATAACTTTTTGTTGTGGTGTTTCAGCGCGCTCTGCACTTGATCGGTAACAGTCTGACCTATGGCACTGAAAGGAGAGCTAAAAGGTACGAATCCTATGTTGCAATTTGAACAAAGCCTTAGAAGTTTCCTGAGTCAAGGCACACGCACAGTGAAAGCGTTCAAAGTACTTGGTTCTTAAAAAAAAGAAGTCACAGACTGTCTAGTAACTGGTTTACCTCGATTTCCCTCCCGAATACCAAGGTAAGGGAACCAAGCACTTACAGGTGCACGTGTGTACCCCTTACGGGTGCTACCAATAGGAGTATTCCACAGCAGCAACTGTCATAGCCAGTTTGACTCCCAAATTTTAAACATAAAGTACTGCTAGGTCAATCTTCATAAACTTGCAGACATAAATTTGCTTCTAAGGACTTTTTGTTTAAACTTACACTCTTGAAAATGCTCATGTCTTTTTTTTTTTTTTAAAAAAAAAAAACACACCATCACACAAAAAAACAAGAGCGCAAGATTTTCAGAACAACTCAGTTTCCACCATCAACAGCGCATTTAAAAAAGAGGTTCTTCCTTTTGGTATCCTAGTTTTCTTCATTTTTGTAAAGCTGCCCCAGTTTTTATGCCAGAGTTGTTGTGATCTCGCTTATAAAGAAAACTTCAGATCAGGAAGCTTTGTTTAAATTAGGAATCCCACTAACTATTTTTGGGAGAAGATGAATTAGAGAAATTTCCTTCTTCTTTCTGTCTGTTCTCCTGACATGACTGCTTTTAACAAAAGAATGGACACACCAGAAAGCAAGTCAACGCACAACTCAGAAAAATGATGAGATTTTAAACAAAATTACAGTCTTTTGTCAAATATTAGTTGGAAGGCTAACACAAAATGGCAGGGATCAAAACAGAACTGCCTCACTTTTAAAACCCTTAACATATCAGACGTTACAGCTACTTTGTTCATTAACCCTCAGCTAAGACAGGAAACTGTTCAATAATCCAGCCATTCAATAATCCCTAGAGACGGCAAATTACAGCTGATGATTCTATCAGAGCTAAATAGGAAAAAGCATGGAGAAATTAACACCTGCGGTGCAGCTCTTTGGAAAGCCTCAGCAATTACTACTATCTACCCAAAAGTGACTGACTGGCCCTAGCACATCATTCTGTCAAGGAGCTGGCATTTACAATCAATGTCAATCAACCTCCATACATCTCTTCCCATTGACTGACATGCTGAGTTCTTGTCAGAATAACGAGTCAAATTTGTGCCAATCACTGATAAAAGGCAAGTTTGATTGTTCATCTTTCTATTACAAATAACAGGAACACAGTTTACTCATGGGGATTTACACTGAATCTACAATTTTGTGCCCTGCAATTCCTTTGTGTCAGTTTTTGACCGTTGTGCATACATGCATGTCAGCAAAGGCACGTCAGGAGAAGCATCCAGTTTCATGAAAGAACTTTATACACTCTCGATGTTACAAATAAAAATATTCTGAGACAAAGAAAATACAGGCCAGCATAGGCACTTTACCACCCAAGTACTCTGTTCATAAACATCTTTTAGTAAGCAGAATGCTCACGCCGACATATAGCTGAGAGAAATGAGATGACATGAGTAAACAAGAGCAAGTGCAAGATCACAGCTAAAGGACGTTTGTCCGTGGGACTAATGAATTCAGTGACTGAAGAAAGGTGACAGAATGCTAAAGAAAGTGTTATTATTTTCCTAATAAATCTTAAAATAATTCAACATCCCTGTCTCATGAATTATTGAAAAACTCATGCATGACGTTTACTAGTCTCCAAGAATTGCGGGGCGGGGGGCAGGGGAGGGAAGTTAATTTGTGCTTCTTAAGGTAAGACTGGCATCAGTATTCAGCTAAAATTTCCAAACATAAATTGTCTTTGTCCCTTATACTACCATTAAGGCAACAAATATTGAATATTCTTTTCAGGAATGTTACTTATAGCTTTCATCTCCAGAAGAAGGAACTGAAAGCTGACAATAACACTGATCATAAAATGTACTTTTTTTCTTTCTTCTCATAAATTTATTTTGAAATTAATTACAGCAAACCATCACTCCACAAAGCGATACTAACTCAAGGTCTGAAATTCTGTCATGTTTATTTTAAAGAACAACCTTCCAACCCAAAATAAAAGATAGGCAAAAAGATAACAGCTCAGTTTATTACTCATCGCTACAGAAAGTTCAGACCATAGGCCTGATGCTCCTCAACATCAACAGGAGACACAAGCTGAAGTCAAGTAAGGCTTCCCAGCCCCAAACAAGTAGATGAATAATTTTCCACTGACAATACGTAAAAAGAGATTCTTAGAAATTTGCAATGCTTGTTCATTTCTCAGCAATTATTTATTTTCTTCTTAAATCAAGTTTGCCACTGTGACTCATGTAACCTGAACTACCAGGACCTATGAAAGTCATTATAAAATGCGCCTGCTTTCCGGACTGCTTAAATAGAGGGTGAAACTAAAAGGCCTGTTTGACCTACTTACCCTTGCATATTTTGCAGCACTGGCTTTCCACGTGCACTGGGAGAGCATCAGGAGGACAATCAAGAGGGGGACAGGACATCCTTCGGCACTCCACAACTCCACTCTAAGCAAAGGTTTTTAAGACAAAATTCAACTATGACTCTTGTAATTAGTGAGTATTTTATACAAAACACAGAAGACAGAAAACTAAGTAAATGAAAACAGCATTGTGTATTACAGACCCATCCTTCAGTAACAAGTTTAATCCTATCCAACTACAAACTTCTATCGAAATGCATCTGAAGGTGAACCACCCCATTTTGATATATATTACTGGTTTTACCCCACCTTCCCTGAGCAAAGCACATTAAGTGGAAAACCTAAGCCCATCTTTACAAAAACATAAGCACCACTTTCTGTAGGCTGTGCCAATCATCTTTGAGATTTTTAACAATCAGTTTTCTATTTTCTTGAGCAAACAAAGACTCTCTTCAGATATTTATCAAATAATTTCAACAAGACAAGATTTACATACTAATTCTCTTCTGCTCCTCGATTTTTCAGTGATAAACACTGAAAACAGAATCTGCATGTTGTTACCATGCAAGATGCAACTAGGCATCTATGAATACTATTAAGATAATGTTTCCTTTTTTAAAAAACTACTGCAGCGAAAACAATTCCAAACCAAACACAGACAATGCCACACTTTCACCCCAAAACCGTAAAGTCCTCACAGATATAAGTAGAACAAATAAGAGAGCGTTGTCAAGGGAAAACACATTTTACTTATGAAGTTTGCACATAAGCAATGTCAATTTTTTATTTATTTTTCCATGTCCCTCCCTATTGTTCATACTGCCACTAGATGCGTACTAAAAACAGAATAATTCTCAGTTAACCTTATGCATTCAAGGACCATTTTCACATTTTAATTAGGTCCTACTCCTTAAACTCTAGAGAAATTCTTACTTTGCAAGTGCAATTCCTGCAGTGATCATCTTCAACCCATGAGTCTTTGTCTCTATAGATCAATCCATTTACTTGACAAGTCTTCTCACAGTGACAGTCTTCCAATTGACTCAGTCTTGTTTCTGCATAATTTAACTATAAATGAAAGTAACTTGATGAGATTTCTGCAATTCAAACACATGGTTTAAAAAAGCAAATATGAGAAAGCAGCATACTTATTTTTAGCCGACCTAAGTTTGACTACAACCTTTGAAACACTGAACCAGGATGTCAGCAGGTATAAACTAACGCTACTCCTCGGGCTTTGATGGAGCTATCCATGCCAACTGACAAAAGTTTACGATTCATGCAACCGTCTCTTGTACTGTAACAAACCCCACTAAGATCCCCTCAGGAACGCCCGGGCACTACCAAAAGTACACAAACTACAACTGTTTTTGTTTTTTAAAAAAAAAAAAAACTTAATTGCTCATCAACCTGATTACAAGTCAAAAAGCGTGAAGACTGGCAGACTGACTTTTCCTAATTATCCCCATCTCATCATTATTAAGCATCAGCCAGACTAATACTTTCTGACTTTTAGAAAGGTCTTAACCTTACAATAGCAAGTGAGATTTAGAGGGGAAAGAAAGCATTTTAATTCAGTGTACTACAAAATATTCCCAAACTCTGATTAATGGAGAAGCCATGCTCCTGGAGTAAACCCTGGGCTGGTGGCTAGCTCTTAACACTCCTTGCTGTTCCCATTACCTCCTCAATTTCAACTACTAAAACACGTATCAAGAAGCTAAAACTGATGCATCTTTTCCAAGTATTACATCTGCACGCTAGCAATTGCTATGTTTACTGATGAGATATTATGCAATAATAAGTGGGGACAATGCTCATTCATGTAGCAGCAGCAAAGGAAAAGGTTTTCTGAACCACCCTCTCCTAAGCCATATCACAGACCTCCCCTTCATACAAGGTACCATCTTACCATGCTCCAGAGAGGAACAACCCCCGTTTATGCACGCCTTGTACGTAGTGCCATCACCTCTAATCCCTAAGAGCACTCAAAATGACTTTCCCATTTACTAATACTAAAAACAAATAAATAAATAAATACAGGCTTAATATTTAGAAGTAAGTATGTGCATTCTTCAGGCCTCAGACTGCCATTGCTCTAAAAATTACCCTGGTGCCAGTTGGATGAGAGTTTCTCAAGGGCTTGATTTTTTTACATTAGAATCATAGGATAGTTTGGGTTGGAAGGGACCTCTAAAGGTCATCTAGCCCAACCCCCTGACGTGGGCAGGGACATCTCCAACCAGATCAGGTTGCTCGGAGCCCCGTCCAACCTGACCTTGAATGTTTCCAGGGATGGGGCATCCACCACCTCTCGGGGCAACCTGCGCCAGTGCTTCACCACCCTCAGCGTAAAACACTTCTTCCTTACATCTAGTCTAAATCTACCCCCCTTTGGTTTAAAGCCATTCCCCCTTGTCCTGTCACAACAGGCCCTGCTAAAAAGTCTGCCGCCATCTTTTTTATAAGCCCCCTTTAAGCACTGACAGGCTGCAATAAGGTCTCCCCGGAGCCTTCTCTTCTCCAGGCTGAACAACCCCAACTCTCTCAGCCTTTCCTCATAGGAGAGGTGTTCCATCCCCCTGGTCATTTTTGTGGCCCTCTTCTGGACCCGCTCCAACAGGTCCCTGTCTTTCTTATGCTGAGGGCTCCAGAGCTGGACGCAGGACTCCAGGTGGGGTCTCACCAGAGCAGAGTAGAGGGGCAGAATCGCCTCCCTCGACCTGCTGTCACATTTGTCTTATGCGTATAAGCCATCACACTGAAGCCACTGCAGATAGCAAGGCTACCTAAATCTAGCACAAAACAAGATGAATGCATACTCCATTCTGTTATAAATATGATGCTATTAACCTACGTTATAGGTTGCTACATTTTAATAGTAGCAAATTTTATTAAAAAAGAATGAATGCGTGGTGCTATAGTATTTTTTACATAATGTCATATACCTGAATTTCATATATTTCCATCCTCTAAAATTCCATCCACTTTAAATGAAAGTATTCTAATATATCCTCCCTCATTCCTGCCAGTAAAAGAGCAACATATTTAGCAGGAAGAAAAAGAAAAGAAATACTAGCCAAATTTCTGTAATTTTTTTTTTTGTCTGCAGTCCTCATGAGAGAAAGCCCTGAATAAAATCTCTATTTCTTAAGATGTTATTCTGGGATAATAGGGGATTGATACTCATCTCCTCCAGACTCAGCAGGATCTGGTGACTTCAAAACTGCCTTTCACATTTTAGAGGCAAAACTATCCTCTTACTGAGCTGCTTTTTTTCAGCAGAAAACCTTTTCATTTCATTATATTTAGTCCTTATATTTACAGTATATAAAAATTTTTACAGTATATAAATATATTCGGTTTTGTTAGGAAGGTGTTTGATTTGTCTTACACTTCTACTTTATTTACATATCTTCTATTTCTTTTTTTTTTTTTTTTAAATGAATATTCCCATATAAATGGGCTATACAAATTTTGGAGAGAAAGGACTTTAGAAATACCCAGATTTGATAGTGGTACTTGATATTGTCCTTTGTCCTAGAAATTATTCCCTAGAAAAAGAAAAAAACTTTAAGACAATAAATATTTTCAATTTATTAACTTTTTCTGTCATTTGCATTATCTTGATAAGTTTTCTTTAGTTAAATATCATTTACCTCCTGTTCTAAGAAGTATCTTTAAACATAGCAGATCAATCAAGTAGATCACCAGAAAGAAGGCATGCAACAACAAAACCTCCAATACAGAGGTCAATGAATGTATCACAGCCCACAGAATCTGTTCAGAAACAACATTTAACTGTCACCTGCTATACTAGAATGACCAGAAACATTCCGTTTGTTTCTAAACTTCAACCCTTAATTGAAAAATTTCTATTGAGCTCAATAAAACAATGAATTCCTTAAAATTAGCTGAAATATCCTTCCAAACGTTGCCAAATGCACACAACTAGATTTAACATTTAAAATATCAGTAGAAAATTCTCAAGCTTCAAACATTTTTGTAGGTTATGAATAGAAATAAACTAATGAGGGAGAAGAAGCCCACACCATACCAAACATCTTCCATATACTAACCAAATCCTAAATTCTTAACATTCAGGAATATTTGGCTAGCTATTATTCACAAAACTTATTTAACTTTTTCCTTGCTTCTCCTCTGCCCATACAAATAACTGAAAGATGACAGACTTCTGTTAAAAATGTCTTGTTTCTAGCAAAATTAATAACAAAAATATAAAAAACCCCAACCCAAAACTATCAAAATTTACATGGAAAATTTTGTTAATCATAAAAGTATTTGTGGCCGTATAAATCCATGATTTAGATAAACCAGATTAACTAGTCCATCAGTGAACTCAAGCGCTTGATTTTTCTTGGTTTTAATCAAATTCAAGCTTTAACCTTTCTGACCTCAACCAAGGAAAGATTCAGTAGAAAGTTTTGTGCTGGAAGCCTTCATGTAACAAGCTCATCTGAATACAAAGCACAGCCTAGCGTGGGCCCGTAATTTACCAAGAAGAAATTACACTCCACTCAAAGAAACGCAGGAGATGCGAAGACTGATTTCAATAGATTGTTAAAGTTGCGTGAATTTTTTTAGCCATTGTATTTAAAGAGGAACTAACAGCCTTCCAGCATGGCAGTTGGGAACGCTGAAATATAACGCAAACCTTTTCTCCTGCAGCAAATTAACATTTTAGCCAGATTTCTAACACTCTGACCTATGGTGTCTCTCTATTTAAGGACACAAGATTAAATCAATTAAACGTATATACTAGAAAGATTCAGAAGTAATTCAAATGATGACAAAAATAAAATAGGCTTTAAAAGCTATCATTTATTCATCTTTAAAAAGCTACTTCCTACCTGTGTCTTGTAAGGACGAGGACATAATGGTGGTTAGCTTGTTACGGGTCACGATCAAATGCTCCTGTACATATATATCTATGTATCTATAGCACTCCACGACAATCTGCTATAGACAATGCTCTGCTGGGCCCCTTACGTAGCCCCCATGTCCCATCCTGAGCCAGCACTAGCCTCGTGGGACCCTGAGGTAAAGCCCAAGCAAGAGGGTACTCTCTCCTCCTGCCTACGTACCGCATAATTTGCACTGCTACCAACGTTATTGGAGCCTGAAGCCACTAGTCTGATGTTTTCTTCCCAGACAAGCCCTGGTCTGAGTCTTCATAGTTTTACGTTATATAAACTGCACGTACACATCCATTGCAAACGACGTTCGCTGGTCTATTCCATGCTGTAATACAGCTGTAACCAGAGACTGAGGGAGAAACTGAAATCCTACATATAGCGGAGCCTAAAAGCAACAACTGGACATCAAACCACGGGGCCCGCTTTTCCAAAACATCATGTTCATGCTCCGCATCTCTTGGTGCGGGACCGGGAGCTGGGGTTCATTGCTCATGTACATTAGCAAGCCATTCTCTGACCACCTGCCCTGCTAAACAGGATCTCTGCAGGCAGTAGCACAGCCCTAAGCCTTGCTCTTTGCCTTGCCACACATCATCCCCATATAATATACTTGTATCTACATTAGCACCACTTGTGGCTATTCTGGCTAGGACTGAAAAGGCAGATACAAACCTTAATGCTTCCCTCAAGTCCCTCCATTTTTAACTTTCATTTGTCTACCAAATTAACTTCCTCTCCTGCTGCATACATTTTTCCTGGACAACAATATTTCTGTAACAACTGCAATGAAACAGTCGGTGCACTGCTGTAACTCGCGATGAAGGATTATCCCAGCACCACTTTATGGAAGCACAGAGTCTTTGCAGTACAAAGACTGTGTTATTTGCTTCCCCTCATAAAGTACTAGCAAGCAAAAATATAATTAACAGCAGAGAAAGCAAGTTGCTCAGTACAGTGCATAATTGGAACTTGCTCATACCACCAGCAGGGCTCAAAATAATTGCCTCTCTTTCACAGTACAAGCAGCAAACTGAACTAAAAGCTTCACATTTCGCATTCAGAGTCAGCCTGTCCAAAGCATGTCAGCTGAGTAAGTGGATTGTCAGTATTATGCACACACTCTCTAAAAACAAAGTTTTCCCTTTCCTATTAGGAAGGAAAAGAACACTTAAAGGCAGCACAGTAAAAAGTATAATGCTTTTACGCTAGTAGCGCTATTATGCAAATCCTATTTTTTAAATGTTTTGAAATGTTTCCTGTTTGGTAACTACACTGAGATTAAAGGCATCTACAGGTTGGTTGTAGTTGCACTTAAATCTATAATTAACACATAAGTGCTGTTTCAGATGACACAATTAATGGCCCTTTACCACAGACCAGATGGTTCACCAACATTAACCTCAGAAAATGTTCACAGACTGCCCTTTAACACACATCAGGGGTTCAGTCACCTCTAGAACAGCTTCCTACCCCAAAACTTCACCACAGCCCTAGCTGAAAGGCCTTGGCTAACACAGAGGTTGACTGTGTATTGTGGGAGTGGAGCCTAAAGAAAATCTTCAAAATCCCAAACAAAAAACCCACCATAGCTTCCCATTCATCCTATTCACAAACCAAACCAGGTGAAGAAAGAAGAAAAAAAAACCAACAACAACAAAAAAAACAAACCCCCCCAAAAAACCCAAAACAAAACAAAAAACCCCAAGCACACACCACACCACTTGGAGCTGGGTTTACTTTCACACTGGTAAAAACCATTGATCAAAGGTGATGTCAAGATCAGCACAGCTGGCAGCTTCACAGGCATTTCCATTTTGGGGCCTCATTTCAATTCCCAGGAAGGAGACCAGGCCAGTCCTGAAGACTTCACAGGACTTCCCACAGGCAAACACACACCCTCTGACAGCATCACATGGTGAGGAAATTGTTGAGGGATTTCACTCCTTTGTTTCTGCATTTATCCCTCAGCATGAAAAGAGAAACCATGCTAAGGCTTCTCACAAAAAAATCAGACCCTGGGCATTTTGTCACTACCTTACAAATAATAAGGCAGACAATAGAAACTGTATAAGGCTTAAGTGACATCCGTGAAGCTATATCCCTAAGTCCACTGCAGACAGGGCTGCTGGCAGGAGGCAAAAAGAAAAAAAATGGCTGTACCATGAAAATGTAGAATAATTGCAAAAGAAATAAATACTTTCTTGTTGGTCTTAGCACAGAAGGAAATGGGCAATGGACGAAGAAGCTTAGGTACCTACTTTTGCAGTCATTTTTGCCAGGAGTTCTTGCAAATCCATGATTCCTTGCACCAGACTTAAGAAATCACTGCAGGTCGGGCATGCTCAATAAAGGAAGAGTACAAAGAAAAGGAAAGGAAGAGAAGGGAAGACACAGTAACCCATAAATAAACCAAGTCTGATATACTGCTGGTTATCTGAGCATAAAATGCAATCTGTTTACACAGAATTTTTGCCTTCTGGAAGTCAGCACATGCAAAAATGACAAGCCTGAAAGTACTATTTTTAAAACAAAGAAATAATTTGTACGAAAAATCTAAAATAGAGAGAATAAAGAAATTGCTACTTACTGCGATTCAGATTAGGACACTGCATTATATATCCGTTAGGTATAAAGATGACTTTCACATCTTGAATAACACCCTTTGTAAAAGAAGAGAAGACTGGTAATACAGATTACAAGCATTCGCTTAGCACTTCATTACAAGCACTCACAACACAAAATACAAAAAATTGACCAGCTCACTCATCTCCTGAGGAGAATATTTTGTCCAACTAAAGACGGACAAAATATAACAACTACTCCTCTCTATCTTCCTGTGTATTTGGATATTAATTTTCATAAAACACAGAAATAATACTGCTTTGTCTTTTGCAATCGCCAAATATAAGCCGCTTAAATGTCTTAAAATGGGATGAGACTGGTGAAAAAGCAGTGAAATAATATCCATTATTCAAGCCTATGACACACTTTGCCAAAAGACAAAAAGAAAACACAGCAGTACTCTTTAGTGATTTAGCCAAATAAGACTGGAAATCAAACATTATGAAAAGAGAAGTACATAGTGCAAGAGGTAAGTAAGAGTCTACACTTCAGCTGTTTGGTTTAGTTTAGCCTACTGGCTTTGTACCTCAACAGGCAGCTCATGTAATCGTGCCATCAGTTAGAATTAAATTCTCTCTCTAACCCAGACAGATGGAGAGATCCCCTACGCAGGACTGGCAGGAATCGGGACTCCAAGGTCAGAGCCAGCTAGTGCAGGTTGTATGAGGCCCAGAAGCTGAACTGGGCGGGACAGGAGAGAGGAAGGACCAACAGGTCCAGTGCCAGCTGCATCCTCTGTTGTCCCTGACTTGCAAGGATATCCCTGACGGAAGCAGCAGACACAAAGGGCTGCCCAGTATCCCTGCATACCTGGCTCCTGAAGAACCCTAAATCCTTCCAATCGCCTAGAAAATGCTGAAGCTTGCGTTTGCTCCTTTAAGCTCAGTACGAAGCTCTTGCTCCACCTTTGACTGTAACATACTTACTCCACAAGATCCACTAGCTTTAATAACATCCTGGTCACTAAGGGGGAGGAGCAAGGGAAAACAAGGGACTTCTTGTGCTGCTATTTGCACTTCCCCTGACTGTTAATCAGATGTAGTGACATGGCTCCATCTCCTCCCCGATACAGAAAAATGTCCTTAATTTGAAAGGAAATTTATCATTGCGGCAGTTATTGTCTAATTAAATTACTGATTTGTAAGGCTATGTTTTAATTTTCAGTTAAATTGCAACAGTGAATTTTGCAGACCGAGGACATAGTCACTTGCTCAAAACATTGAACTCTATCCGTAAATAAAATATAGGCCTCAGATAGCCCTTGAAGCCTGATGAATACAGTAATAACATTTAACATCTACGTGCTCATTTGCTAAAACAGCAGAAGGTAATCAGCAAGCACCATTTCCTGCTTACTGTTTCATGATCAAATATTAACTGAAAATACTAGTAGACGTAATCAGATCACACTGTCTTTCTTGCAGAAGTATATACAATTATCAACCTTTTCATCTACAAGAATAATGAAACCATCATAATAATGAGAAGTAATACTGTCGCTGGAAAAGGAAGATCCTGAAAGCTGTTTTATATACTTCCTGCTAGCAGTCATCAGTGAGAAATTAGAAGGTGAGGCATAAAAATATATTCCAATGCTTAAACCTCTCCAGTGAAAAACTTAACCAAGAGTAAATGAGATTACAAAGTTTCACCAGACCATATTGCACAGCTAACAAGACATCGTCCAGAGAGAAGTGATGTTTTCCTCAGCCTTATTTTAAGAAGCGCATATTGAACTTCAAATACGTTTGTTGCATCAGAGCCCCACCGCTCAATTGCCTTTTGGATAGATTTGCGTTTAAATACAACCTGAAGAGGAAACACAACTATTTTGGGGGTCTTAATTTCTGGCTACATGAAAGCACGTTACCATGGAAGAAGGTATGAACTTCAATTCACCAGTATAGATGCCTTCTAAGTCTATAAACCCCCTGAAACAGAATTAATACGATCAAATATAGAAGTGAACCTTCAAAAAGCAGAAATTTCACTGATGGATTTTTTTAATAGAAAGACTTCATTATAGGAACTTATTACAGCCATAATTATTGTAACACTTATGAACAAATTTGGACTATTCCTCCTTCAGCATTAAGTCTAGGTTGCCGAGAGCTTTCTACAGCCACAGCCAGAAGAGGAATCAGGCATGCACAGCTCCCCAGGGGAAGCCAAGGGCTCTGGTTCACTTTGGCACAGGGTGGAGTTCTTCAGTCCACATTCTGTGAAAAGACATCAGGATTTGGCCTTGACAGGGAGATGTCAGTGGTCAAAATCTTCCCGGTTTTGCCTTTCCCAAGCAGACATTACCTTTAGGTTATCATTAAAGCATTCGGCTAATTACAACCAAAGCTTCAGTTCAGTATCAGGACTCACTAGCTTGAAGAGCTTTCATCTGTGCGGGCAGATTACCAGCTGCAAGACTAAATTCAGGCCTGCAGCACTAAATATCAAGCCCATCCATGAGGATGTAATACAAAAGCCCCATTTATTGCACTTTTCATGTCTCTATTAAATAGAGGACTCCTCCCACGTTCTGTGAAAAGGCTCATATATTCCACGAGCTCTCCACTTCTGCATTTTCGTTTCCTCCATTGCCATTCACCCTCTTTAAAACCTCCTTCTCCCACAGAGACAATGCATGCCGCACAGCTGTGCAAGTTGCATCGGCCAGGGCTGGTGAAAGGCTCTGCACGGAGGCACCAGCAGATGTACCCAAACCCCTGTGCCTAGGCAATGCTACACCACCGCCACTAGATCCCCACTAGATCAGCACTGTGCTCCCCTACAGAGGACAGGCATGCCCCACGCCAGGTGCCTGAACAGCTGCCCTTGGCACTGTATTTACCTCACCTTAATCTGTACAACTCCGAGACCAGAACGACTACAGAGACCCAAGTATGCCATGATGCTGTGCAGCAAAAATACCAGCGTACTTCTCAAGCACCTACTATACAATCCCCAGGCACAGCAGCAGGATCAATAGAGCCTGCTATAACAGATGGGAAAATTACCGTCTTTCTACATGAATCACCTAGTCAGCAATGCATTAATAAGCTCATTTCTGCAGCAGCTCTTTGGAGGGAGCCTTAGGGGGAAGGGTTCTCCCCAGCGATAAAATTAATTTTGCAGATAATTCTGATCCTGACAGCAATCAGATCCATCCTAGAGTGAGGGTTCCCTGGACGTCTGGTATCACTCTCTTCCTCCTTTCAGTTGCATTTACTTTGGTTTCCTAATCTGATTATAATGGTATTCTCTAGCCCTAAAACAAATCTTAGGTTTGGGCCAAACAAAGAAACCTGAAGGGTCAGCATGTGTTTTTCGAAGGAAGTAATTCCTGAGATTCCCTTCAAGGCAAAGAGATAAAGCTATCTTAAGTCTGCTCCGCATTTGCTCCTGCCACTGCTGTGCTAAAACCATTCCGTCTTGTCTGAACGCCAAATGCTTGGTCGTAGCAGGTAAGTTACAACTAGAAGAGATACTAGTTGTAAGGGGCAAGACTTCAACTCCCTTGGTTATGCCACAGAGCACTTCCCTCCCCAGCAAGGCCACAGACACGGCAGGGCTACTTGTGGAGTAATCACTGTAAGCGAGAATGCGGAACAAAATCGTAAATAAGAAAAATGGCAACAACTGGCCACAGTGACTTACGAATATCATATCCCCTCCTTCCTCTTCCGATATGCTGAAGAATTATGATCTAAAATAGGCATGAGAATATGGCCCAAAATGTGCTCTAACGCTATTCATTTATGGAGAGACACAACAATTAATTAACTATCATTAAAGTAAGAAATATTTTGGCACGGCAAAGATGATACTCAGAACAGTATCCAGTGCTTTTTGTTACGTACATTTTCATGGCTCCAACACACATACAAAAATGCTAATTCTTTTTTAACGCTCTTATTTCCCTGCAGATCTCTGTTTACATTAAAGAAAATAGATCTATTTTTTTATATGCTAAAACAGTGAAACAAATTGCTCTGAAAAAGAAAGGGAGGTCCTGCTGAGCATGTAAATATATGGAAAGAGAGGCGTACTCTTTACAAACTGGCAAAATCCCAAGTTTTTGCAATGAGTAACATTAAAAAAAAAATAAGATTTCTGAAACTCTCAAGCAGGATTAAAAAAATACAACCAATTATATTTCTGCCCTGAAGAAAGTTAGTAAAACATCCAAGCATGCATAAAGCAAAGTAAGGCACTTGCCGGCTTTCATTATGATCAATAAAAACTGTCAGCTCATTAGCATATCATTAGCTATCCTGCTGTTTCCAAAGTGTTAACGCGTAGAAATATTAATTTACAAACATATAATATCCCAGAGTTCTGAGGCTCTGACTGCCTGCATAAAATAAGAATTTAAGATGGGCAAATCCAACATAACTTCTTTTTCTCCTATGTAGCTATAAACATATGTTTACCATCTGTGGAATTATGGGAAGCAGCTGAGGTAAAAAAAACAACAGCTGTAGAATAAAATAATACTATCAATTTCACTTCACAGTGACAGCTCAGCTGCTGGAGGATGAAGTGTACTCTAGGTTCAGAGCAACTCTCGGACCGTCATTTAAGTTAAAAGTGAGCTTTTACCTCTGTTTCACAATTATAGTTGTTAGTTGCCATGCTTAAATAGTTTTAGCGTAAAATAATTGTCCCAGCTTGTTGAAATCCAGGGACTTCGAGGAGAGGTCCTCGGAAAACCAGCAACTTGTAAAATTGTCTTATGAACCGACAGCTTCAAAGGGAAACTTGAGTGGGTGGTAAATCACCTTGGCAACAAATCCACGCCAGTATCGAGGATAGGCAGATTGGCCTATCGCTGCACTACAGATTCTTTTCGCTGATAAACACTTGCACCGTGGTTTGTTATCCAAAACTGGAAGAAATATCAGAAACTTTTCTGTAGCTTGATTACAAAGTAAAAGAATTAATTTTCAGGTGGAGGGGGTGGTTTTCGTTTGTTGGTGGATTTTGTTTGTTGGTTGGTTCAGCGATTCAGCCTTGACCAGAAAATCATTTAGCCTCACCAGGGGCCAAAAAAAGCTGAAAGAAAACATACAGGAGAGGGCTTTTCAAGTTGTAGGTCATTTCTCCGTCCTTTGCAATTTTGGGAATATATTGCCATTAATTGAATCTGGAATATATTGCCATTACTTGAATCCTCTTTTTCCTCTGAAAAGTTCCTCATGCCCACACTGGTCTACTCGACGATGATGTCTTGGGGACCCTGATAAATGGAAGAAGACAGGCTTTCCAGCTAGAAGGTAAGAGCAGCCTGAGTCCTGCCAGCTAGCCAGCCTTTCAGCCTGGGCTGTTGGAAGCAATGGAAGCTCCGAAGGACAAAGAAGCTCGTGAACAAAACTCGGTGACCCACTATTCACTCTCTGTTGAGAAATACAGTGACGCGCTTAGTTGAGAAAAACAGAAAGAAAGGAAAGTACTCCAGGAACAGAAAAATCTACTGTTTTGCAGCAAGGCAAATGCACTGCATACAATAGCTAGTATCTGCCAAAGCCAGAAGGATCACAGGCCAGAAGACCTTCTGTGCTCTAGAAGTCAATGCTGACAGGAGCAAACAAGGAAGAGTCACCAGAGGCAGCCAGCAGAAGGGTGAGGGTATTCTGCATGTGAAATCAAGGAGGAAATGGCCTCCGAGAGTGATTAAGACCACCGCTGTCTGGCCAGGAGACCACAGCAAAGCTGTTGCTTTGTGAAGGTTTAAAGACGAAAGCCAAGAATCATAGAATCATTGAGGTTGGAAAAGACCTCTAAGATCATCGAGTCCAACCATCGACCCAACACCACCATGTCCACTAAACCATGTCCCTAAGTGCCTCATCTACTCGTCTTTTAAATACCTCCAGGGATGGGGACTCCACCACTTCCCTGGGCAGCCTG